GTTTAATAATGAAAAAAAATAAAAAAAATAAATATACTTAATTATTTTTAAATATGCATTTATTAGTAATTTAATATCAAATAACAACTGTTAATTATTATATAACTAAATAATTATATTAATTATAATCTACCATATATTATCCACTATCCACTTTTTACTTTCCAATATTTGCCACCTGTTACGTGCTACTTTTTTTTTTTATTATTATTACTCATTGTCCACGATATGTTAAAATTTAACTATTATACCAAATAGGTTTTAAATGAAGCGATCGAGGAAATATAATATGGAAATCAATGAGTAAGAAGAGGAACCTATTCTATTTATAGAGGTTTCAATTCTTGATGCCAATGCCTTCTCTAAGCGCTTTTTCTTATTTTGATTAGGAGTTGTATTCGCTACTTTCAAACTCCTTTTGGCTTAGGGGTGACCAATACAATCTTCCCTTCAGGAACACCTAACCAACTTGAAGAACTATACCCCAAGTTTAAGAAGTCCATCAAGGACTAAATCCCAAATCCAAGATGTTTAGGGAACCATTTCACATTTTTAGATAAAAGGAGAAAATTAATTTCTTATTATTTACAATTCTTTTGAAACGGTGTAATAAAAAATGACTTTAATTTTGTATATATTAAAAAGAGAATAATGTAGGATAAGTCATTCTTTTTAAAAAAAAAATTTAGAGGATTAGTCTAAATATACTTTCTAATTATTATCTTTAAAAACTAACTATTGGATTAAAAGTTTATTCATATAAATTATGCTTATTAATTTTTATATTGATCCAATATTTATAATTTTTTGATAAAAGTAATTCTATTTATTGATATATATTTGATAATGATAAATTTTTTAATAGTTAATGAAGAGGTTAAGCTTACTAAATTAACATGAAAATTTACATAAATGGTTTATATAAATAGAACTTTCAATTCAACGGTTAATTTTCGAAAATATAAATCGAAAGATGAGCTTTTAAATATATTCTCAAAAAAATTTAAGAAAACAATATGTCAAATATTTTTTTTCTATTAATTTAATACTAGATAAATATAATACTTCTCTTTAATTTGCATTACTTTTATTTTAGTCGTACCTAAACTCCACGGCTTCTAACACGGTATCATCCTATTTTTATATCTATAACCAAAATCATGAAATTTAATCAGAAGAAGAATTGTATGTTGTGCAGGTTGCATTTCCGAACCTAGAGGTGTTGGAATTGTCTTGGATTAATGTTAACACCATATGGCACGCTTCAATAACATCTTCTCATGTTGCGAAACTGACGAAGTTGATCATTGAGGGCTGTGGTAATTTGGAATATCTATTCCCATCTTCCATAGTGTTGGGCCTTGTGCAACTCTATAGTTTGAAAGTCACAAACTGTGCCAAGATGGAGCAAGTGATCACAGGAGAAGGAGCTGAGGACCTGTTTCCTAAGCTATTCACTATTATTTTGGAGTCCTGTCCCAACTTGAAATGTTTCTATGAGGGAAGTAGTCGGCTTGAGTTTCCACGGTTGTACAAAATTACTGTTGTTAACTGCCCAACTTTGGCTGCTTTTGCTTCTTCATTTTCAAGTGACCAAAAGAAAGAGATGACAACTAATGACATAGAAAGTGAAGAGAGGCCTGTCATCCCTACTCAACATTTCTTCAGTGATAAGGTCAGTTATTTTGTAAAAGTTATTTTATTTTACTTTTACAAAGTGATTGTTTCTTCAGTATCGATGCTGCTATTGTCTCCACCTAATTACCTGTATAGATATATCAATTACCTTAAACAATTGTGCCTAAAAGAACCATAATTGCAGCAAATTCATAGTAACAACCAATAATAGAAGGCTCTCAAAAACTATTATTATAAAATGAATTAGATACTTCATAACTTATATAATTTTTCCCTTAATATTCGAAGAAATTAAACATCTCCATCATCCAAATTGTGTTTAAAAATTTTTCACTTATGTTAGACTACTTAATTCAGGTGTAAATATAGTTTGCTTATTCTTCATAAATCATATCATAATTAATTTTCCTTAATCAATTGAAATGGTTTATATTTAGTTTTCTTAATTATATAAAATAAATTGTATATACATAATAAGATTGTTTGAACTGTATTCTATTAATTATGAGTAATAACCAATCTAAATTACATATTATTACTAGTACATTAATTAAATACAAAAATTATTAATTATTAACTATGATGTAGAACAGGTAAATCTCTTTACTTATTATGCCTAAAAATTCATCACTCGAAAGTAAAAGTAAAATTACTCAATTTAAGAAAATTAGTTAATTGGACAGTGTTTAACTATCCGGAACAAAGTCTACTACCATCCTTCATTCTAAATGTCGCTATGTCATTTCTCATGTTTTTGCTTTGGGATTGTCGCTACATTGTTTCTTTGGATTAAGAAGACATTCTTCACAAAAAGAATGATCTTTTTCTAATGAGGTCTTTTAATTTGGAGTCTTTAATGTTGTTTTTAAGTAAAGTTGCATTGGCCTTCTGATGAAAGTTCTGCTTTTGTTCATCTTCTAACCTCCTCTGCTGGTCAGTCCCAAAGCACAAAGAGCAAAATTTAGACACTGATCTGGATAAACAACCACCCACCTTGCCTGTTGTTCACATAAATGATCTCCTTCTAGTCAATTTGAGAGCCATATTGACAAACTTGTCCTTCCCTTTAAATAACCTTTCATTCTTACATATCCACACAATCCAAGTTATAAAAGTACGATAAAGACCAAACTTCCTTCTTAGATCTACCTACCACCCCAAAATTGACTGATCATATAACTGGATTACACTCCGTGAAAATATATGGAGCTAAGACCCTGCCAATAATAGTTTCAACTACTGTTGAGCAATACATTGATCAACTCCTCCAACTCTACGTGTTTAACATGATTCACCATCTTTTTTCTCATCCATCAACAAAATGATAAGCTTTTACTACAAAATGAATTCTATGTCATGCAGGTTGTGTTACCAAACCTAGAGGAGCTACAATTACGCTGGATGAATGTTAACATCGAATGGCACACTTCAATAACATCTTTATGTGTAGGGAAACTGAAGAAATTGATCATTCAAGGCTGTGA